GTAGAAAAAGCACGATGCAATTATATACATAATTATGCAAACACTGTATCCAGTAGCGCGCACGATACCACAAAAACTTTCACTTTGTTAATGATGTGCAAAGAACCAAGAGATTTAGACCGCATTGGTTTACGACGGTATAAAATGTCATGTCAAACGAATTGAAACCCCCCGTGCGGAGATTACGAATATCATCCAAAGATAAAAGAGACACATTCATAAAAAGCTTACAAAAGTTTTCAAAATGCGCATATTAAAGGTAATATTTCAAATGATCATGATACACGGATTACTGAGCACAATGGGCTTCAACTACACCGGCACCGAAGTTATAAAGACATAAACAGAATTAGTGGTGCGAAACGGTACATAATAGTTTGTCCAAGTTGCTCGTAGCGTTAAACGCTACCGCTGTTTCATATTTTCTCGTGTGCAAAAGGGTAGAAAGCTAGGACCGTCGCGGCGCGTCGGTCATTGTCGCCGGAGTTTTAAAATCCCCGGCCCCAATCGGCTTCTAAATTTTATAACCTATGTTATTCGTCGACCGCTTGGGACTACTCCATTATGTCCTCCGCTGCGCTCCTCATTCCCCGATCCACCTTCGAATGTTTATTTCTTCTTCAGTACTTTTACAGGCCAACGGTTAATCCAGCTTTTGTGATTCAACTGACCGTCGATCACGAACAATTTGCTGTGCGTTTTGGCATGCATTTAATACTTGCGCTCTCCACGAAATGCCCGAATGCTTTTCAGTCAATAATTCGTGCCGGAGAGCCGGCCTCCGTGTGTGCGGTCAACCCGGCCATCCTCGGTCGAACCCCCGCTCAAAAGATCGATAACAGGACATAGTAGCGCTTCTATTTATACCCGAATGTGGTTCGACATAACCAGAGATACAATCTGCGATACGTGCCAGATAGAACCGTCCCATTCAATTTTAGTTCATGGAACTATAGAGATTCGCGATACTTTCAGTGGCTCGCAGAAGAATTGCTTGATAACACTTTCATAGAATACGCGAATCATTGCCGACTTTGCTAAAATCACTCTGAGTCATTGGGTTCTTAACGCCCCTAACGCTTTTCTGTCACGCAAAATCAATTATTTCCTTGGTTAATGGGTTTGGGAGCTCGTATTCAAACGCCCGAAACACGTCCGTGCGGATATTCGTCGATCGGGGTTTACAGCTGCATCTATCGGACGCCGATGGGCGTCCTCTGTACGGAATGGGCTGTGTATATTCTTGTGTCACGCGGTAGGAAACGATTTAAGAATATCTATAATTATACGAATAAGTGGTATATTGTGATAGAATTTTGAGAAATAAAAATTTAAAAAGTAAAAATTTCATAAATTATTTGCCTCGCTCGATAACCTTAGGTCACCTTTTGAACGCATTCGCAGATTACACTGCAAATGACATATTGAAAATAAAAAAGTTGCATTATAAAAGTAAATATTTGTTGTTTATATTTGCTGTAGTATATTGGGTAAGATAAAAATGCATTATAAAGGGAATACAGGTCTACTTGAAAGATAATCTTGCGTTCACGATGATCATTGCACATTGTGAGCTACAATTAAACGGAATATTGTTTATTTCAATTAAAATAAATTAAAAAGTACGTTCAGATATATTGTTTTTGATATTAAGTATTTATTCATCAACAATTTTGTAACTGTATTTTATTTCTTTTTCGACGAAACAATGACATTATCTTTATGATTTATTCCTCGTGTTTACGAATAACAACGAATCTTTTCTTTCAGTTGCATTTAAGCAAAGAGTTATTATAACGATTACATTAACGTTTATTTTTATAAGTAGCAAATTTTCTACGTTTATCGCCTTTCACGATCGGCTATTAAATTCAATTTTCTAATTGATGTGCTTGCTTGTACACCATGCGAAAACAACTGAATCTAAACCCGTAGAAAGCCGCAAATTTGATCGGCTCAGGAGAACGGCAACTGGAGTCCTGGAGTCGTTCGAATTCCAGCGAGACAGCCGAGGGAAATAAAACGATCACGGTGGATCTTTTCGCCTCAGATTACAGTTTCTCTGTCGTTTGACCACGAACGCATATATTCTATCAACCGCAACGGCATTTAAGCAAGGATTAAATTTTATCGAGTACCAACTGCGACTACATGAAATGAATACAGTTTAATGCGTCCGATTGTTCTCGCCGTTTCGTCGGTTTGCTCGTGGGAATTCTTGCGGGCTCCGCGGTGGCCGAATGAAATGGAAACGGCATGGTCTGTCTGTCACAATGACCGTCGAACGTACGTGCAATTACTTCGATGCACTTCTGTATACTCTAATTACTAGGTTGACGTACATGAAATGACAGATCGACAATGAAATGAAAAAAATAGATACGTGGTTATTTTTGTAACCTTAATGCATATAATTTTAAGGTCCCCATGTGACTTTTTATTTTTTTTCTTACTAGTGATTCCCTCTTATTAATTTCTTATATTAAAATATTTTTATATTTATGTTTAAATATTTATCAGTGTTAAGCATTTTTAGTTATTTAAATCGTAAAGATGTCTTCTGCTTATAGAAAGATAAAGAAGATATCTTTAATGTTTCAATTCTCTGTGTTCCCAGGAATATATAGCAAGGAATATATAATATCTCGACTTTATAAAAATAAATATTTAAAGACTTCTCAAGGTAGGTTGCTTAACTGTTACTCCATACAGCGTAACATCATAATCTCCTGTCATACGGCGTACGACAAACTCTGCAATATAGCCTACCGCAGGAAATAAAGTCTACAGGTATACAGCAATATAAATATTTACTTGCAAGTTTCGGAGTAACCGTGACAATCCAATAGAATGTCAGCAAGAATTCCTGCGTTCAACTGATAATACCCTCTGATAAGAAATAGAAGGGTCTCATATAAACAGTGCCACTACATGATACGGAATATTTATAATACAATCGAAATTGTGATTCACCATTAAAATATTCGATCTATAAATTTGTAAAAATACGATTACAGTACAACTCTCCGGAATCTGGTTACATTTATTCTCCCAGGATACCGTACGTAACAATAACAGTAACAATAATTCTCGTACATTTTAATATTACAAAATCCACGCTGGCTACGATTGCTGACACAACTCAACAACTGATGTCACGTCTCGCCACCTCCGCCATTAAAATGTCGA